CACTGTAGCAGTACGCCACCGGGCCGGCCCGATTCCATGTATTTTATTAGACTTGTGGTTCTAGAGGGCAGGGGTTTGTCTAAATCAAGAAAAACTACTCATTCTCACCTTCTGAGCCTTTCTCAGGCCTTTCCTCTTATCTGGGGAATATACTTCCTTCCCACCTGGCCCAGTCCCGCGCCTTCCTTCAGAAAGTCTTCCTTGCTAATATCTGCCTCCACTCCCTAATTCTTCTCTATTTGGCACCAAAGAAATATAATACAAGCCACATATATAATTTAAAATTTTAGAGTAGCCATTTAAGACATGAAATTAATGTTTGGGCACAGCTAGCTGGTATGAGGAAATTAATTTAATTATTTTATCTAAAATATTTAATATTATCTTAATAATATTTTATCCAAAATATTAGCATTTCAACATGTAATCAATATAAAAACTATTGAGATCTTTTACATTCTTTTTTTAAATATTAAGTCTTCAAAATTCAGTGAGTATTTTACCCATATAGTACACCTCAATTTGGATTAATTGCATTTGAAATGCTCAAGAGCACATGTGGTTAGCGCCTCTGGTACTGGATGGTGCAGGTCTGGGGCCCTGCCTATCTGCTCTCACTTGTCCTGGAAATGGGTCTCATCCTCCCCTTCCTCTGAATGTTCCCGAGAGTAGCCTTCCTCCACCTTTTGGAAGTGCCCTGGGCAGGATGTAGCACTTGGAGAAGGAAGGCTCAAAAAGTTCATATGAGATCTTGAGTTACACTGGCCTGTTGGTGACTTGTCTTCCTGCCCCACATGTTCATGACTGTCTGTGTTAGATTGAGATTCTTTTGAAGGCAGGACTTTGTTTAACTCCCAGTGAGGTCTTCAGGTGAGACTACAGATAAGGTGAGGGTGCAGTGGGAAGGGGCCCCTCGCAGTGCCGTCCTTGCACTCCCTTGCCTGGGAGCAACTCTGTTGCTCTTTTCTTACCTGTAGCACAGTTGCCTTGGGGACCACCAGCAGAATGTCAGAGCCGCCATCCGCCTCCTCCAAGGTCACTAGTTCATCCATGGGCCTTGGCTCTCGGAACTGGAAAGGAGGGCTCTGCCCACAAACCCGGCCCTGGCGGTTCACATATCGGAACTGGTAAAGCTGGGCTCCAGGTTTGGGCAGGTAGCTGGCTGTGGGAAGAATGGACCCAAGACCCCAATATGATCCCAGGTCTTCATGTGCCCAGCAGGTACCCCTTCCCCTTAGTGCTACTCATTATCTGCTGTCCCTGGCTCCAGCTTCTTGCTCCCTGTTCCGTATAGTGTTTTCTCTCGAGACTCTTCATTGTATACAGACTATTTTTGTACTGAGATACTCTTCTCCCTCCTTTCTGCCTAGCCTTCTCCTTCCTCTCTTTCCCAAATCCACTCCCCTCTGTGATAATCATAATAGTGCTAATTACCATTTATTGAGCACCCAACATGTACCAGACACTGTGCTAACAGCTTTACCTGTATCAGTTAAAATCCTCATATTGTCCCTATAAGCCAGGCATCATCCCCTTTTACTGTCAAGATAACAGATACAGAGAAGTTAAGCAATTTTCCCAAGGTCAAACAGCTTGTAAGTATTAGAACTGAGATGCGAACCCAGGTCTTTCAGAATCTCATGATTACCCTCTTCTCAATACATGATGATTTCCCTCTTCCCCGCTCCCTAGTTCCATAAGCAGAGTTCCTCCTTCTTTGAGTAGG